AATGAATTGTTTCTCTGCAGGTATTTCTTCTTTCCCATGTGATAACAGCATTTAGATATTTAAAACTACCAAGCAGGGACTGCATTATCTCTCTCTTTTTTTATATTTGCATATTTTAAGTCATGTAGACAGAGCTTAAGTGTCCTATTTTTGTCTTTAGCAAATGGAGATGTGGGTTTTTTAATTTTATCTTGGTTTGGGTTTTTATGTTTTGTTTTTGTTTTTGAGATGTGTTAATCTGGGTCATTTAAATAGGCCACGCTGTTGAAAGTCAACGAGTACTTGAAATTGACTGTGAATATGCTGTTCAGCAAATCATCTTTGAGAGTTTAAAAAACATAAATTTTCACATGGTGCCTTTTGGTAAAGGGGTAGGGGGAATATAACAGTAGCTAATTGTAACAGTGTATTCATGCACTTTAAAGCAACAGAAAAAAAATGGGTTTTGCTTGTAAACAAAGTTCTAAGCTGTGACTGCTGTTGCCCGAAAGGCATCCAAAGCAGAAAGTGTCTGTGATGGACAAGCTGGTCAGAAGACATCTGAGATCCAGGCTAAAAGCACCAAGAAAAAGCACCTGGAGAGCCCCAGGCTAGGACTCGCCTTTAGAAAATTCTTTAGGCATAAGGTCTGTATCTTGTTAAACTAGGAGGGAAAAAAAGAACCCTGGTCTTTGCCACACAGCATCCATGCCATACTACGTCCACCCAGCTCTGCTTTGGTGAAGACAGAGCCTTGGATAGCTGAGATCATTAAAAGGGAATTAAAGATGATGTGAATTAAACTTCAGAGATTTTTTTTTTAAAGTCTCCATAGTTATAAACATTTCAGACTGTTTTCTTCCTAGTGTGGACCAGGGTTCTGAGATTATTCTTCTAATCCAGTGTTTCCCAAATGTTGGTTGTTTGCATACCACTGTCACCATTTTAAATAAACTATTATTTACTTGATATTTTCATATTGAAATTGATCCATTTTGTATTTAAATATGTCTTGAAAAGAAACTTTATATCATATTGGAAAACCAGAATCATTTTTCATAGGAGGAAGGTAACCATTAATAAGGCTAATAAAGAAAGATATTACAATCTAGCTACCTCATTTGTGTTAAAAATGATTTGTGAATCGGATGCCCTTTCTAGCTTTTTTAAAAGGCAATTGACCAGTGGTAGAAAAACATTAAAGGCATACCAGCATGAGGCTGAGCCGTTACCTGGGATGTTATCAGAAGGATTAAATGAGAGTTGGAAAAGGAAAAAGTATTTTCACTATTTAAATGTTATTTAAAGTTATATTTCTGCACAACGTAAAACCATCTCTGACTCATTAGTGGTATGCTTCCTACACTTTGGGAAATACTCTACTAACCTCAAGATAACAATTTTATATTTCTGTGGCCTGTTCCATCCAACCGTAGTATTAACTAAGCTTATGCTGAACCCAAATAAAAGCCCAGGCAGAAAAAAAACAATGAATGGAGGCAGAGCAAGTTAAATCTCCATGTCCTCAGGAAAGTAGGATGACATTGAAATCAGTTTTGGAGATATCAGTCTTCCAATGTCTAAGATGCCAGTGTTTGTCTGAAACCATCAATTGAAAGGATCCCTGAGTTGGATCAGAGTGCTTGGAAATTTGTTTAAAATATTAACCATCATTCACCAAGTTAAATGAACATATTAGAAAACTTCCCCACCTGGATGTTATAGTCCCAGGATTGTGTATGCAAATAAAACCTTCCTAGAAAGTTATCACAGCTGACTATATATTTGCATAAATAAACTGTCTTACAAAGCCACCCTTCAATTTCCATACAGGCTTATTTTTTTCTGTAAAGAGAGGAGGGGGATGATGGATATTACGGTGGAGGAGAGAAAATTAAAAAGTGGTCCGACTGTATGTGGGAGACAGTTTAGCAACTGCTAGTGAAACACATCAGATCTCATACAAACCCATCTAGTTTAACTCCCACTTGGACTAGGGGACCTTGAAAGTTGAAGAAGTGTATGACTTTCCCTCCAGATCTGCATTGCATTATGACTTTCATTTTATGCACGACAAAACTTCCCATCTGCAGTGTCTCTTACCATCCATAACTGGACCACCCAAGTTCAGTGTTATTATTTCTAGGGCTTCCCAAAACCAGTGGCCTCACAGCCTGCCACTGAGGTATATTTGGGGGAAGGACAGGATTCTGGATTACTAGGAAGATGTAGAGGAAAAATTCTTTTCTGGGATTCTCTAATACAGACATAAGGACTGCAGAGTTTTTTCTTGAGTTACATTCGGTGTATTTTTAAATAAATATAAATTAAGGTAAGGAGAAAATTCTCAAATCTTCTGAATTCTCATTTATTCAGTAGTTTGTTCTAACTCATTGGCTTTAAAAGTTTACTTCTTTTTCTCTTTTGATTATTCTGTTGTCCACAAAGTTAAGAAAATAGGGTCATTAAGATGACCAGCCAGATTCTACCAAGGACCGTTGTTGCAGGATTATAGCTTGTGTGATTTAAACCCTTGAATTTACCATGAGGTTTTAACCTAGGACAGAAATATGCAAACCCAGTCAAATTCAAGGATAAAACACCATCTTCTAGCTTTGCTGTAAAAAATACAATAGTTACTGATTCTGGTTAACCACTGGGTTCATTTCTCTACATCTCAATTTTCCTTCCTATAAAAAGAATTTTCTTAGTTTAAAAAAGTGTGGAAGGCTGGAATTAGTAAATAAGTTTATTGTTATAATAATAGAAGTGTCAGCTTTCTTTTGCTGAATTTGAATCTTTTCTTCTTGGCTTAAGTGCACACGATGCCTCAGAATCAAACTTTTCCATGCGTCTGCCAATGTTTGATGACAACGTGTACCCAAGGTGAGGCAGGGTTCTAGAATGTTTTTGCCACATCCAGAAATGCTCCCGAAGTATCAGCAGCAGCTCACGTGATCCCTGCCACCCATTCATTGTTTTCATTCTTGGTGAAATGTTGACATCTTACTAACACCTCCTCTCTCCCATACCCTAATGTGAAAACAAGATGAAAACTTATTAAGAAGGTAAGGTTATTTCACACACAATCTCCAAACCTAGTACATTAGAATTTCATGGTTAGGTTTGCCAGATAAAGTATACAATACCCAGGTAAATTCTAATTTTGGATAAACAAAAAATAATTTTTTGGTACAAATGTAAGTATGTCCCATGCAATATTTGGGACATACTTATGCAGGGTTTTTTAAATAAATAAATAATGCTTTCTCATATTTTTGAAAAAGAAAGCAAGCTACTTAGTGAGAAGTGGGGGAAGGGGGTACATCCCATTCAACCAGTCCCCTTTAATTTAATTACCATTTAGAGCTAAAATAGTGCCAGGTGCACAAGACCGGAAGATTTATAACACAGAACTTTATGAGCTTCACCATTGTGACTTCACTGTCTATAAAGTGCAGAGGTTATTTTAATTCTAGCAGTATACAGTTTTGTACACTTTTAAATGGAACTGGGGTTATTCCAGTATCAATGATCACAAAAGTCATTTCCCTACTTTAGTCCTTTATCATGTTTTGAACTTAGAATCTGCTCCTTAAATGACTCCCTTTTAGTGCCATAAAAGTCAGCAGAGATGATGTTGTGTCTTGCATCAAATAGTAAATTGATGTTGTTTGCAAACACCCTTTAGAGAGGCAATAAACTTCAAGGACAGAGCCCTAAACAGGAGCCAGAATTCCAGCTGTGAAGCCAGGTTGTACCTTTTATTTAGTGTTGGGCAAATTCTGGGCCTCAGTTTCCCCATCTGTGAAAATTCAAGCATTGGACCAGCTGGTCTTTAAGACTCTTTCCAGTATCAAAAATACTGTGAAACTTCCTGAATTTGTCCACACCCCATTTTTACTGCCATATTTTTTTCAGTCAGAAAATGTAATCAAAGATATGACATCCCTAGAAATTTAGAGAGATTGAGTTATAAGTCACTGGAGCAAAAATCATGAGAAGCAGATGATTGGGGTGAAGAGGTTAGGTCAGGTGGACCTGGTGTTAAAATGTTTAATGCCAATATTCACTCATGCTGTGATAGATTGTCTCTATAATTCTCCCAACCCTTTCCTTATCCCACAACTGGGGGGTGGGGGCCAGGGTGTAGGAATTAACAGCCCCTCACAGAAGGAGTCAGATGTCCTGGAATTGAACCTCTGAGAGAAAGCCACAGATAGAAAGAGCGAGACAGAGAAAGAGGGAGAGAGGGAGGCATGAAGACCGATGAATGACAGTGGCAGAAGTCTTAGCTGTGGAGTGTGGGGGCTGCATCTAAATATGAAGAATGGGGTTTGCAGATGTTTTTCCGGTTCAAGCCCCCTTCTCTCAGATCTAGTCCAGCTGCTTTATCATGTATAGCCTCTGTAGACTGTGATCTCCAAAGTGGAGTATGGGGGGAAATTTTGAGAACTTCTATTTTAATTATCATTATCTCAACCCTTCTTTAATTTCTAATTTGGATTAATAAAATAATACATGTCCGTAATATACATGTAAAACAAATATGCTTGTATTGGGGGTGCATGTTCAAAATGTTTTACTGATGAGAACATAATCAAAACCATTTGGAGACCAACAGCCTAGGTAAGAATTTCACATTCTAATAGCAAAGGGACTCTTACAGTCCCCTTGATTCCTAATGAGTTACTTATAATGAACAGGATTAGTAATGCTTCTATGTTTATTTTTTCCAAAAGGAAAACATTGACTTTTTCCAAGACTTTAACACAGATCTACATTCATGGTAGCCTATTTGGAAAATATGGAAAATTACAAAGAAGAAAATTAACATACACATAACTCTAGCCCACGTTTATAAAACAGAGAACTTTCACTTTTGAAATCTTGAGATCATTTTGAGTTTTTCCCCCTTCATTTCTTTTAACTCTGTAGGGTGCTGAAAAGTCACCCGCTGCTTCAGCTGACCTAAAGTCAGACAAAGCCAACTTTGTACCCCAGGAGACCCAAGCTGCAGCCAAAAATCCTAAAGGCTGCAACTCATCAGGTCACGTGCAATCTGTGACATCCACTGAAACAGCAAAGGAAAGTGCCAAGGAGAAATCGGGACCCACCTCTTCACCTCTAGGCAAACTGTTTTGGAAAAAGGTAAGTCTGATTTTCAAGATTTGGAGAGTCCTTGGGGCTGGGATGACTGAAGGGATTATTTCCACTGGGCCAATCATTGTATGCAGTTTTTTTTTTTCTTCTTCTCCAAAATGACTCAACTTGCCATTGAGTTGAACATTTCTAATGCACTTCTGGAAAGAATGAAATGCCTGTCAAAACATGTGTTTCACGGGGAAGGAAAGGAAATGAGCCAGTAGAAATTTTCAGTCTTTGGATGACTCCGGCTCATGGCAGAGGGTTGTGGTGTTTCATGATTTCCTTTTCCTTCTAAAACAGTTTGTTACTCTGCCTTCCTCCTGCTGTCCTCCAAGTGCTCTCACCCTGGGGAGATAGACCACCTTGGGGGCCTCTGTCTCTGTTTCCCCCTAGCTGTGTAGAATCAGCCGCTGTGAGCCTCTAGGTCTTCCTCTCCTTTTAGAAACCCAGGGTGTCCACCAAGGCAAGCACATACTGTGCTCTGTGACAGGAAAATTCAAATCACTGTGTGATTTTTTTCCTCTCTAGAATTAGGGTACCTGAGGTATGTGCGTGCAAAGAAATGGAGGGGGTGGGGCTGAGCAATTCCAAGAGCTGTTCCTTCAGCATCGTTGCTGAGCAATCAATCCCCAGGGCCACACGTGTTCCGAACTCTTGCCTGTTTTACATTTGGCCAAAAGAAGAGCAAGAATTCAGGGGTGAGGGGGTGGAAATTCACAGAGCTGGAAAAATCTAACTTACTAATTCGTGCCACTTGGCGAGTCAGGCAAAGCAGATGATAAATACAAATGCCACTGTGGTGACAGTTTTACTCTTGTGTCCAGAATCCAGCTGAATTTCTGAGCCTGTTTCCTGTTGTACAAAAATCTCCCTTCTAGGTTCTTCCCAGAACACAAACTCCAATATTTTATGAAAACTTTGGATGACATCAGTTGACGTTCTGTTCTAATCCTCTTGCTTCACCAACCACCATTACTTATCTTAAAATATCTTTTGCCAGCAGTATACTGTACAGAACAATTTCCAAGGGACTTATATGTGTATATAGGTGAAATGACTTATATGTGTATATAGGGGAAATGACTTAACCCATTTTTGAACATTTTCATTTAAATAATTATCATATTTATATATAAAGTGTATTAGGGAAAGTAGAGATAGCACATTAAACTTGAGATTTAACATATATTTTGCTCAAGGTGAGACAAACCGTGTTTAGTTTTAAAAGGAATCCAATGAAAAGAAAAATGTTATACAAGTAATGGTACTGATATTAAGTAAGTAATGGTAAATTTGGGCCCTCCAAGAAGCAAGACACCAAGATTGCTCAAGGTGAGACAAACCGTGTTTAGTTTTAAAAGGAATCCAATGAAAAGAAAAATGTTATACAAGTAATGGTACTGATATTAAGTAAGTAATGGTAAATTTGGGCCCTCCAAGAAGCAAGACACCAAGATAGAATTAACGTGCAAAAGATTTATTGGAGAGAAATACCTGTGAAGGTTTAAGGGGCAGGGTCAGAAGTAGGTAGAAAGAGCCTTCAGGCCACAGTGAGGATCTGACATCTGTAAAGAGAGAGGAGGAAGGAAGGAGAGCAGGTTGGAAAAGCCTCAGACTGAGGGGGCTGCTGAGAAAGACTTGGCCAGGCCAGTGTGGAATCATAGAGACCAGATTGCGCATCTTGGGAGTCCCACACTGGATGGGAATGAATGGCCCTGTACCCCACCGTGCTCGGTCATTGGCAAGAGCCATCAGAGAGAGCAGGGTTGCATATGAACACTGCAGTGGGAGCTGAAGGCATGCCAGGTGGAGGCTGTCCTTTTTGCAGAGAAATCAGAGCAGTGCACGTCCATGCCTACTGCAGATGACACATACAATATGGCAAAAACCGTAAAGGCTATGGGCAAATAACTGAAGTTTCAGAAACAGTGATGTAATTGGTTAAAAGTTTGGAGTCAGACAGATCTGACTTTGAGTTCCAATTCATCTCTGGGAGCCTCAGTTTCCTCATTTGTAAAATGCAAATAAGAGTACCTATGTCATAGAGATGAGGTGAGGAAAATGGAATCATGCTGGCAAAACCCCTAACACAGCACTAGCACAAAAGTGGCCAACGACCGGTCGCTGCTACCTACGTCATTTATTTCCTCCATGCTCAGGAGGGTTAAGCAAATAACCATGACAACCGCTTCATCTTTCTGTGCTTACTGTCCAGTTTGGGAAAGCTACTAAGCTATTGCCTCCCACGCTCCTTTAATGTTTGGAATCTATAAGGGATACGATGTTTCCTCTTTGAAATTCAAACTTTTCTCATTGAAAATAAAAGTCAGGACAATTTGACTTTCGTCTCCTTAATGGTAGAATTTTATTTATTATTATTTCAATCTCACTGTCTTTTGCACTGTTACTTAGATTTATTTCTTTAGTAAATTATTTAGAATAATGAAGAAACTAAAAACCAAATCACCTGTATCATAGTATCACATTTTTTCTACTTGCACTCAATCTTTTTAAGAAAGAAAAGCTCCATATGGAAGAAAAATATGAAAATTTTACTTGTTCACAATATTTTAATCTTTTTCTTTGTGCTCAATTTTTTGTGCTGAATAGTTTGTGCTAACTAATAGGCATTGAAAAGATAGCAGTGAGCAAATTCCTGCCCTTTCCTAGTTTATATTCTTGTCGGGGAGCTTATATTGTAATAAAAAACAAAATAAAGACCTTTGTTTTCTTTTCTTTAAATTAGAAAGATTGTGGTTATAAAATCACCCTTGTACAACTTTTGTGGTTTTTAAATTTATTTTATTTATTTTAACTTTAATTTACCAGTATACTATGTAGTTGATTTTTGTGTCCCTTTACCAATTCCTCTTCTTTCCCCCTCCTGGTCCCCCCCATAAACATCATATCTGTTCACTTATCTTAACAAGTTCAAGGAATTTATGGTTGTTGTGTCTTCTTCCCCTTTCCCCACCATTTATTTGTTTGTATATTTATTTACTTATTTTTATTAGATCCCACAATAAGTGAGAACATGCAGTATTTCTCTTTCTGTGCCTGACTTATTTCTTTTTTTTTTTTTTTCCTTTTTGTCTCTTTTTTCGTGTCCGGCAACGGACCGCAACCCTCAGTGTCGCACCCGTACCGGACCGGGACCGGCAACGGGATCACAACTCTCAGTGCTGCACCCGCCCCTCGCTCAGCCAGTGAGCGGGAACCGGTCTGTATGTGGGATCCGAACCCTCGGCGGGAGTGCCGCCGCACTCCCAAGCAGCGCACTGTAGCAGTGCGCCACCGGGCCGGCCCCTGTGCCTGACTTATTTCATTTAATGTAATTTTTTCTAAGTCCATCCATGTTGTTGTGAATGGTAGTATTTCATTCTTTTTTACTGCAGAGTAGTGTTCTATTGTGTAGATGTACCACATTTTCCTCATCCACTCATCAGATGATGGACATTTGGGCTGCTTCCAACTCTTGGCTATAAGTAATGGGAGTACAGGTGTCCCTTTGACATGATGATTTCCATTCCTCTGGGTATATTCCCAGCAGTGGAATAGCTGCCTCATATGGTGGATCTATCTGTAATCATTTGAGGAACCTCCACACCATTTGTGGTTATAAAATCACCCTTGTAAAAATTTTGAAAAATACAAAGGGAAATGCAAGGAACTTCTTACATTTTCACTGGGGAGCGCCGCCACACTCCCAAGCGGCGCACTGTAGCAGTGCGCCACCGGGCCGGCCCCTGTGCCTGACTTATTTCATTTAATGTAATTTTCTCTAAGTCCATCCATGTTGTTGTGAATGGTAGTATTTCATTCTTTTT